ACAAGTCGTATCGAAAATGAGGTCTTACTTGTGTACGGGGTTCCGGAAAGGATAATATGTGACAATGGAAAACAGTATGTGTCAAGACAATTCAATGGCGCAGAAATGGCGCGGTCGTACGACTGTAAGATAATATTCAATGCCAGTTATAGTCCGCACGTGAACCCGACAGAGAGGATTAACCGTGTAATAGGCACTATGATTAGGACGTATGTAGATAAGAATCAACGCGATTGGGACAAAAACCTTCCTAAATTAGGTTTTGCTTTAAGAACGGCCGTACACGAGATAACGGGGTACAGTCCCGCATACTTAAATTTTGGTTGGCAGCCGTGTATATCCGGAAGAATGCATGCCGTAGAAAATGCCGACGGGACAATTGCTTTCGATGAAAGAAGGTTACTTGCTGAACACGGTGATAATATGCGTGACGTATTTAAGACTGTGCAAGAGCGTCTCGCTACGTTCTATAGGGAAAGCGCGGATAGGTATAACCTCAGACATAGGCCTTTGTCCTTACAAGTAGGGCAGACGGTTTGGAAGAAGAATTACACGTTGTCCGATAAAGCGGATTATTACGCCGCTAAGTTAGCTCCTAAGTTTATAAAATGTACCGTCGTCCGTAAAATTTCTACGAATGTATATGAGTTGGTGAATATCGGGACGCATCGCTCATTAGGTAATGTACATATTAAAGATATTAAAATAGATTAAAGGGGAGGTAGACATGTTTTTTTTTTGTTGTTTTTTTTTTGAAAGCGAGGATGGTGTAACAATTTTTCAACAAGTCCGCTAGTAGAATCCTATAGTCGCCGATAAAATAAATTTGCGTTCGATACTCTTAACGACCTCTGTTGAATACACGGAGTAATAACCTTTTTTTTTGTGAAAAACACTAAAACTTTTATCGCGCCGGCAAAAAAAAAGCGGAGGCCAGGCTACGCCGGGTGAACGTGGAGAAAAGCAAGTTTTTGGCAAGACGACAGCGGTACGGAAGCAGAACTAGTCGTTTAGAACGGATAATAATTCCGTACCCTGGGATTAAGGGAGTCGGTGAAGTAGATACATGTGGTAAACGATCTCCCTTTATTTGATTGTTAGTGTTAGCAAGATACAAGTCTTGGAAGCGGTAAAACGTCTTCTCGAAAGTTAGGGGCTCGGCTTGGGAAGGTAAGCGTTGGACGTTTAAGTTCTCGTGTCAAGTTATTTTGTATTTCTCCGTTACCTAAGGCAAAATTAAAAAAAAAAAAAAAAATTGTTTACACCGGTTTTTTTTTTATTGTAGGCGTTTTTTTTTCTGCTCCTGTTATGCCTATGTGTTATGGGCGATTGGTCGAGTGGCGTTCCGAGAGCAAGCCAGTAAAAGGAGTGCAAAAACAATAATAATAGGAAATTTCATGGTAACAACAGGGTGGTACGATCCGAGGAGGCCAGTATTAAACTTCCATTCCGCCCTGGGTGAACGAGCACATCGGGAACCAAGGCTGAGTACCTCATAGAGGCCCGATCTTTTTTTTTGTTTTGTCGTTGCGAAAAATGGCAACAGCACTCACCGTCCTGTTTTTTTGTTATACCACCCGAGATTTATAGAACTAATTATATATGTATTCATGTACTTGGTAATATACCTGTATTGAGATTCCTCAACTGTTTTTTTTTTAAGTAAAGCTAAGGCCGTATTAGTAGTTTTATGGTCATACCGCGTGGAAAGCTAGCCGAGAATAAATCTTTCCTTTCATTTATTTCTTCTTAAACTACTTGGCGCCCTCATTTCTTTTTTAATTCAATTGATTTGTTTTTTTTTTACTTTGATTGAACCCACCCCGTGAACCTACCCGCAAGCACATTACTTGTGGTACTTAACCAAGTAAAATAAAAGAATCGGAGGCGTCTGAAAATTAAAATACACACAGGCGGCCGCGAACGCTGTGCATAGCGTTATAACATAATCGAGAATAGCTTTGTTATCGATGACCGTTTTACTAGTAGAGTCGGGCAGACGGTCTACTGGCGACCCTGGTTTCCGTTTTTTTGTACAATTTGGACAACGAACGGTTGTTACACCATCCCGACCGCATTTAAAACAAAATAACCTGCGTGGCTTAACGCACTGCCTGAACCGATGTCCGGTATCTCGACAATTCCAACATGTTTGTTGATTAGAATTTCGAGTACTAATGACGGCTGATTGGGTCACCTCAGAAGTATGGGGTTGAGTCGGACGTAAATCTCCCGAAGAAATGGCGGAAACAGCAGGAGACGATAGACTTGCAGTTGGCCTGTGATACGCAAGACCGGGTTCCATCAACTGACGGTAGTTCGTTGGTGGAGGACAGAACCGTTGGACGCGCATCTCTGTCTCTTCAATGGCACGACACGTTTGTATGAGAACTTGAACGCTACTGATCGTATGCAAAGAAAGTTGGGTCTGTATATACGGTAAGAGATTCCTTCTTATTATCCGTACACGCGTTTCTTCTGTCGGTTTTACTGAGAGTCTATTAAATAATTGCTCCATGGAAGCTATAAAAATAATAACGCGTTCCTGAGCGCCTTGCGTACGACGACGTAGTTCCACCCATATTTCGTTCTCGTAGTCGTAGGGCTGGAAAGAGTCCCGTAACTTTACTACAAGATCGTCCCATGATGAAAATTCATTGGTTCTAAACCACAGCAACGCATCTTTTGTAAAAAGTTCAGCGGCGGACCGTAACAGTTGTGCTTTGGATACACCCCTAGACCGACGAAGTTCTTGAACTCGATCTAAAAAGTCATTTACGCTAGAAGCACCGTCATATTTATGATTCCATCGACCGATATCCGGAAATCTATTTTGGAGATACGCTGGGACATCAACGGATGAAAAATTTAAAGCAGCAAATTTATTTGCTAAGTTACAACAGCGTTCATCCATAGAGAAAGCTCGGCTATTAGCAATTGTTTGACTAGAATTAGGTGCACGTGACCAATTTTCAGAAAAATATGTTCTTTGCGCATCATCGTCGAAATGAACATTGCACGATGATCGTCTATCAGTATTCGGATGCTGAGTCAACTGGTGAGGAAGATTCGGTTGTGAAATGTTTCTTGGTAAGGGAGAAGATTGTATTGCCGCAGACGTAGACGTTCGGGATCGTTGTTCGCGCTCGAGATCATTACCTAACTGCGTCTCGTATCGAGAGACTTCAACATCAGGTTCTGGTAACAGAAAGTTTTCATTACGATCATGCGCTTGAGTACCAGCTGGTTGAGAAATGTTTAATCGCGAATGAACAACTTCAGGTATTAACGGGTTTGCCGTATCCAAAATGGATACTTGAGCCTGGGGCTGGTTAGCGTTCAATGCGACCTCTAGATTTTGGTTTTCTACTGGAGGCTCATTATCATACATCACATGTAATTCATCTCTGAGTTGTACTGCCTTTTGGATTAATTGTGTAAGTCGACGACGTTGATTATCATTTTCTGGACATATACGACCTAATCTAAGTATTACGTGGCGCAATCTCGAGTATAACCGCTCAAATTCATTTTTTCGATTATCAAAATCAAAAGCTCCAATTTCTCCTTCTAAGTTCGTTAACTTTAAACCGTAAATACTGAGCTCTTCCGATGCTGCAAGGGTTGTTGAAGTTGGCACAGTAGCTCGACCTTCACGTTCTTCGCGAAGCGCATACCGAAGAAGAGTGCGTTTTTGTTGCACGTTGCCTTCCATTTGGCAACCGCGAATCTGTAGTTCATACGACAATTCATCTGATGAGAGCCTATTGACTTCCATATTGAACGAGAGTTATATGCAAAGTCTCTATAGTTGAGTTAAAATCCGACAGAAAAAAACTTGTCCTAATGTAATGTTCACAAGCCCAATCTGTGCTAATGAGAAAAAAGAAAACGAGAAAAAGAAAAAAAAATGCGACCGTATATCCTAATGACTTAATTTTCTAATACTAAGTCTAAATACCCAAGTACTAATCCACGGAAACACCCTGTATAACAACGTATAACAGCGTGAACTATTATTATTTCTTAACTAACTAATTATGTACTAAAACAATTACCTTAAACGATGAAAATAGGAAAAATTTATTCTAATACTATCCCAAATAAAATACTTATTCACCGCCTTTTGTATATTAATTCCAGTATATTTCAATACCAACAATGTCAAGAGGCTACTATTGGACTCTTGGATCAAAAAAAAAATTACAAAAGCAAAGTAGTTACTTCAGCACACTTTGACTACCCTTTTTTTATCGCCCTATCTTAATAATATCTACCGTTTGTTGTAAATAAGATGCCGATTCTTTTTAATTTGGTATACCACCAAAGTATAACCATATAATATGTTTTAGATAAGACTCAATTTATTGATTCACCCTGTATCTAATAATGTAATACCGCGCAATACCTTCCACTGTAAAAAATGTAAACACAAGTGCTTGGCTTCTATCAAAATCTTGACGACTTTTACCTGAAATTTAGCCAACACAAAATTTTTGTATCAAAGATATATTATTTGATCCACACTATATAATTATAATAACATTTACTTTGTTAAGGAAGAGGGTAAGAGCGGATTGTGTAATGGGTTAAACTATAAAGTTCGTATCTGTTGTAAAATTTAAAAAACAATTTTAAATTTGATCTACCCTGTATGATATAAGTTTACCACTCTTGGACCTAGTGTCTGGTAAAGGTTTAACATATAAATAATCGGTTTTCAGTTAAAGTAAACTTTAACAAATGTGAACTATGAAGTGGCACCGATATCTTGTTGTACCCTGTATATAGGAGCATAAAAAATATATATCTTGAATCAAAATTAAATAACACGTTGGGCGTCAAATTTGGGTTATGTTATATTGCATAACGCAAATTACCCAACAAACCAGATAAAAGTATTATAGAGTATACAATGAAATAGCGGGTAAATAACCGACCGAATGGTACCTTTACTACAGCGCTGTACTACAGGCTTACACAGGTAACCCCCACGATTTGTTGAATATAACATATAACAAGTAATGACGTCTGAAAGGTTACTTATAATCTAAATTGTTTTAGGCATGCCTTGTTGGGTTGTACATAATTCAAAAGAAGTATGGCACCCTAAGCCAATTTATACCACAAGAGTGAGGCTCTTGACGAAGGTATACAAACAAAACAAACATAAGCAGATCTTAAAACTACATTCTAACATGCTAAATCTTATAGCTAGTCTTATCTGTGAGAGTGGTGTGTAGCACAGTTGCACAGGTCGAATTCCTCTGGAGCGATAAAGTTCTATCTGGGTGAAACGGAGAGTCAAGCGGTACATGCACCAATCACTAGGCCTGGGAGGGTGCAGGGTGCAAAGCGGCGTGCAGCAAAGTGTATGGCCAGCACAAAATACTCGCACTTTTGTCATGCATACCATGCAGCAAGCAGTAGTGAAGCGGGTTGGTAGTGTGGCAAGAAGGCTGCGATAGTTTTTAAGTCGGTGTATGAAGGAGGAGAATAAGCAGGATAGAGAAGACACAAAAAAAAGGCCTAAAAGGAAAAGTAAATGCTACAAATGTCTACTAGTGTGTACTAAATTAATAAAGCGAGTGGTAAAGCTCAAGCACATGTTTTTCCTAACCTAAAGTAGGTACATACCTTTGTTGTAGGTCGGCCTTAAAAGTGAAATATTTAAAATTATCTTTTATGGGCACTTAGATCCAACTATCTCTGTTGCGAAAATTGCCAAAACTCTAATTTTGCCCAATAAATAATCTTTAAAGATCCGCAAAATTTGCGCGAGGCCCAAGCATGGCCAGGAGTATATAAAAAAGAGGTTTTTTTTTTTCTTCAAAAATTTCTTTAACTCCCTACTTTAGGGGAATTTTTCCTTTGGCTAACCTGCTAACCTTGCCTTGACACAGAGCATAGAAAATGACAGAAAGTATACAA